CCCTTATAAAATTTCGTCCTCGAAATTAAAAGGAAACTAAAATCAGTAAATCCATACCTTAGTCAAACAAATGAGGGTAAGTCTCCCTCATTTCTGATTCCTTCTCCCAAGTGGCATCCTTCTCAGAACTGTGCTTCCAAAGCACCTTAACAAAAGGAATCGCTCTGCTCCTCAACTGCTTAACCTCAAAGTCAAGAATCTTCTCTGGTTCGTTAACAAAAGTCAAGTCAGGTTGAATGTCTACCACATCTGTACTAATCCTCTGAGTCTCATCTGAAATATATTTCCTTAAGGAGGAAATGTGAAACACATTATGTACTCCACTCATATGTGCTGGTAGAATCAACCTATAGGCCACCTTTCCAATCCTTTCTGAAATCTCAAAAGGGCCTACAAATCTGGGACTTAATTTTCCTGCTTTGCCAAATCTCTTCACTCCCTTCATTGGACTGACTTTGAGAAATACAAACTCTCCCACATCAAATTCAACTGATCGGTGCTTGGCATCATAATATTTCTTCTGTCTGTCCTGCACTGCCCTCAATCTATCTCTGATCAATCTAATCTTTTCTGTAGCATCATCCACCAAATCAGCACCAATTACCTTTCTTTCTCCTGTCTCAGCCCAATTTAAAGGTGTCCTACACCTTCTCCCATATAAAGCCTCGTATGGAGCCATACCGATACTTGCTTGGAAGCTATTGTTGTAGGCAAATTCAATTAAAGGCACATATACCTCCCACTTACCACCATAATCCAGAACACATAATCTCAGCAAATCTTCTAAGGTCTGGATTGTTCTTTCTGACTGCCCATCTGTCTGAGGGTGGAAAGCTGTACTAAAAGTAAGCCTGGTGCCCAAAGCTTCCTGGACTTTCTTCCAAAATCTGGAAGTAAATCTCCCATCTCTGTCTGACACAATAGTCTTCGGTACTCCATGTAATCTAACAATCTGATCAACATACAGGCTTGCCAATTTTTCAACTGGATCAGACTGTTTGATAGGTATAAAATGTGCAGACTTAGTTAACCTATCAATAATCACCCATAAAGTATCATTTCCTCTTCTGGATCTGGGTAAACCAACCACGAAATCCATAGCAATGTCTTCCCATTTCCACTCTGGTATGGGTAAGGGCTGTAGATATCCTCCTGGCTTCTGGTGCTCAGCTTTAACCATCTGACATGAAATACATTTGGATACTGTATCTGCTACACTTCTCTTCATTCCTGGCCACCAAAACACTTCCTTCAAATCCTGATAACTCTCTTATCGAGTGGTCGTTCTGTCAGCCAGAAAACTAGGTTACATTGAGATAAGAATACAGATTCTGTTAGGTATTCACTCAACTTTATCCATGCGGAACTACTTTTGTTAATATGCAACTTTTTTGGCTAAATTTTTAAGAAGGATTCATATAAATATTAATTCAGGAGCATTATAAAAATTTAATATAATTAGGAGCAAAAATATTTCTTTAATTGGCTTTTTGTATGCTTAGCTGAGAATGCCATGGGCATTTTATGAAGATGCCATACCAATTTACATTTTCATGAGCGACCTTCCTCGAATTTAATCTAGGGAGAGAAATTGAGAAGGAAATTATATAGAGAATTCTTATGAGCAGAGAGAGATTTGGTCATTAAAGTCAAATGGTTACAATTTTTTAAGGCGTTCATCGTATGTTAATTAATAATGGAAAAACATGCAATGAATCAAACTCATACCTTTTAATATTTAGTTGTTTTTCTTTGCTTAAAAGGGCAATCTGAAAGTAACCTAATTAACTTAATTAAAGTTTGAGATAAATTTCTATTTTAATAATCACGATATATTAACAAATACTACAAAAAAAAGTTTTAAGAGCTATTGAATCAATTTAGAGGGAAATTTTGTGGATTATGTGTGAATTCCATTTTGATAAGTGATGTAAAAAGCTTGTAAAATAGCTTTTAAATCAATCATGCAAAAGATGGAAGTTGAAACAACAAAAAATTTGAATAATCTATAAACCTTTGATTTTCTATAATTTATTACAATTTGAAAAATTCCATTAATGAAGAAGTATCTATACCGTTGGAACATTTATGTCGGATGTTCGATTATCAAATTGTCACAAGCTTTGCTTATAAATATGCAAGATTTAGTGATCATTTGGTCCTTTGATTGTTATCCAAAAGTTTTCATATTTACTTATGTGCTTGATCTTGAGAAAATTGAAATCGAATCGGTTCACTCTTTCTGTTGTTGGGTTTGTTTCATCAAAAAGATCAATTGGACTATACATTCATTGAAATCAGAGTTCAAATAGTCTGGAATTGAAATTTGATAGTTTTCTTCTTCAATGTGCATCAAGATTCGTGCTTAATTAAGTGATTTCTTTGATTACATATTAATATTAATAGTTAAGATGTATATACTTATTGATAAATATAAATGAATGTATAAATTTTAATTAAATTTAACATAATTCGTAAAAGAGTATTTATGTTTTTTTGTTGAAATTCAAATATTTAAAAATTTAGTCTTTAAATTGTGTCCATAGCCTGTTAAAACTAGTTGAGTTTTTATATATATATTGGATCATAAAAATAAAAATTTATCCTAAAATTTAGTAAAAGGAAAAAAATCTAAAATTATTAAAATGTATGAGGTTGATTCCTTGCATCTATTATTCATCAGTTAAACGATGTATGACAATTATCCTGAAAATATTATAGCCATTTGACTAAAGTTAACTAATATCTCTCAACCTTTATCTTTTCAATATGAAAATTTTTTATTTAATTTCTTTCCCAATTATTTTTCTAGAAAAACATTTCTAATATATTTCTTATATGTTTAAAATATTTCACTCGTGACAAAGCCAATTGCCTTGGTATTTTCATGAAAATGCCAATTTTTTTGGGGTTTTCATGAAAATGCGTATTATATGGGCATTTTGAACTAATTTAGAAAACACTCAGTTAAAGATGTTTTTGCTTCTATTAAATATAATTCTTATAGTGATCCTATTCCTACATTCATATTTATAAACGGTTCTTTTAAAAAATTTTCCTATTTTTTAAAATTTTAAAGGATTTTTAATCCTTATTGTACTCATTTACATTTCTTTTCATGCCTATGCCTTGTGTTTAGAGCGATGCGTCATTTTCAAAAGATTATTCCAGGGCCTTTTCAACTAAGTTAGAAATGTATGAGGGGATTTTAATAAACTTCTAAGAGGTAGAAGAGATTTGTTGTTTTGAGGCATTATAATCTTGTTATTATAGTTAACATGCTAATTGTGTGTTTCATTTATCATTGACTGAGGCATTTGTAAAAGATTTGTTTCTATGTATTATTTACTTGTAAATGGTAAGAACTGCAAGTTCTTTGAAGTTCAGACACCCAGTCATAATTAATTTTGTTTGACTTTTTTTTGTTCTCCTCAAAAGAGATCCACAAGAATTTGATAGTTCATGATTTATATCATACATGAAAATATCTCTATAATCGTAATCTAGCAGTGATTAAGTAAAAAAAATCAAGGAAACATTTATGCTAGCCCTCTGCTCGGGCTCTCATTTGTTGCTGCTCCTAGCTCTCACGTGGTGGTGTCCCCTGGTGTTGAGTCCTCTCAATGCTTATGTCATCACGTCTAGCTTCACGCACATGGGATGCTTGGCCTTTGATTTAGCTTTTTTGCACTTACATGTTGCAATCTCTCTTGCATCGTGCTCGTGTTCATGCTTCAATTTCAAGGCAGTGTTCGTATGGTGTAGGCCCTATGCATTCTC